TAGAAGGCCTTTGGGTGAAGTTAGGACAGTATCTATCTACCCGTGCTGATGTTCTTCCTCAAGCTTATATATCTCTTCTCACTCAGTTACAAGACTCTCTCCCTCCTCGCCCTTTGCAGGAGGTTCTTTAATCTTCCTAAACCTTTTGTTTAATGGTTACTTACCTATGTAGTCTTGTTTTGAAGTTTGCTCTATGTGTGTGTTCTTTCTCAGGTTCGTAGAACCATTGAAAGAGAACTTGGGAACTCCATGGAAGTTCTGTTCACTGATTTTTCTAACGAACCTTTAGCAACTGCTTCGGTATGTTTCTAAGCCACTGTTTGGCTAATAATCACAAGGTTTTTTTTTGTTTGTTTGATAGTGAGATCTCTGTTTTTTTTGTAGATAGCACAGGTTCATCGTGCTACTCTAGCTAATGGTCAAGATGTGGTTGTTAAAGTTCAGCATAATGGCATTAGAGCTATTATTTTAGAGGTCTGATCTTAGTTTCTTTTTAAAAGACTTTGTGAACTTCTCTCAACCCATCTTTTCATTTTTCTTAACAGGACTTAAAGAATGCAAAGGCTATTGTTGACTGGATTGCTTGGGCAGAACCACAGTATGATTTTAATCCAATGATAGATGAATGGTGCAAGGAAGCTCCAAGGGAACTAGACTTTAACATTGAAGCTGGTATGACTCACTTGCATCTTGAGTTTCATCCTATGTTCAGTACTTGTACTTAAAGCTTGTGATTGCCTTTCTCAAACATGTAGAGAATACAAGAACAGTATCCAAGAATCTTGGTTGCAAGAAGACAAATAGTGAAGGTAGAAGTGACAACAGAGTTGACGTCTTAATTCCAGATATAATCCAGGTTCTTAGATGCAGCATTACAAATTGATAACTCTAGAAGTTGTTCATTCCTGATACTTATGTGTTAAACTTCCTTTGCTGCTTTTAATGATAGTCTTCTGAGAGTGTACTCATTCTTGAGTATATGGATGGGATTCGGCTGAATGATGTGGAATCTCTAGATGCTTTTGGTATAGATAAACAAAAGATTGTTGAAGAGATCACTCGTGCATATGCTCACCAGATATATGTTGATGGGTTTTTCAATGGTGACCCTCATCCAGGTATGGTCCTTGACACACCACCATGGTTGCTTAGACATATATGTAATATATGATTATATATCTACTCTGTTTTTGTAGGAAATTTTCTTGTTAGTAAGGAGCCACCACACCGCCCTATTTTACTTGATTTTGGACTTACAAAGAAACTCTCACACCCATTGAAACAAGCACTAGCCAAGATGTTTCTAGCATCAGCAGAGGTTTGTGAAAGTTTTATGCTACACATCTCTCTTTCTTACAATGAGAGTGATTGATATGTTTGTCAACAGAATCTAAACATTTTGAACTGTTGAGAAAACTAGAAAAATAAATTAAAAAAATGAACCAAGTGCTATCTTGTCATGTGAATGAAGCATGTTTGTAGAATTATAGGTCATGGTTTTGATTTTTAACTGCTTAATGAAACAGGGAGACCAAGTGGCGCTCTTGTCTGCTTTTGCAGAAATGGGATTGAAGCTGAGGCTTGATCTTCCAGATCAGGCAATGAGTGTGGCAGGTCTCTTCTTCAGATCTTCAACTCCATCAAATGAAGCTCTGGTAAGTAAATTTTACTTCTTTCCTTTATAGACTTGGTTTATCTTTTGTCTTACAGATAGTATCTCTTTTTATTAGAAAACGCTGAAAACCTTGAACGATCAAAGAATGCAAAACATGAAAGTTATACAGGAAAAGATGCAGCTCAGCCAGAAAGAAGTTAAACGGTTTAATCCGGTAAGCATAAACTTTCTTTCAAGTATATGAGCTTCTTAGTGAGTGATCATCTTTTATCTTAATGAAAAATATTTGATGCAGGTAGATGCATTTCCTGGTGATATTGTTATCTTTGCAAGGGTCATTAATCTACTCAGAGGTAATGATGTGTGAATCACACTATTTTGCCTCATTACATCAATTTACTTATTTATTTTGTTGACTATTTAGGACTTTCATCCACTATGAATGTTCGGATTGTTTATCTGGACATCATGAGACCATTTGCTGAATCTGTGCTGTTGGGGTAAGCTACCTTGGAGTTTTTCAGCTTATTTTATCATCTCCTTGTGATATGACATAATGTGATTTTGCAGGAGTATTAGTCGAGGACCAACAGTAGATTCCTCTTGGATACATGATTCTCCAGTTCATTCTGATGTAGAGTTCAAACTGAGGAAACTGCTTGTTGAACTTGGGAGTGTCCAGAAAATACTTGGGATTCAGGTGGAAACATTGGCTTTGCAGACAGCTTTTTGTTATGTTTAGTACATGAGTCTTAACTAGGAAATGATTATGTAGGTGTGTGCATATAAAGATGGGAAAGTCATTATTGACACTGCTGCTGGAGTGCTTGGAAGATATGACCCTCGTCCGGTTCAACCTGATAGTTTGTTTCCTGTTTTCTCGGTGACAAAAGGTATCACTGCTGGAATGATACATTGGCTTGTCGACCAAAGGTGAGTAGCAACATTGATATTCCGATCAATTCCAGTTCTTACATATTGGTCTCATCTAGGCTTGCGGTTTATTCGGGTATTTGCGGTTTCGGTTTATTCGGTTCAGCCACAATTCCACCAAACCCGAAAAATTGGCTCGGTTTCCGGATAATTTCAGTTTTTAATTTTATTTCTGAAAATAACCAAATTTTTTGATTCAGTTAGAATTCAATATAATTTTCTAAAATTGGATATTTTGGGTTAAATTCGGTTAAGTTTCGGTTATTTTCTCTTATGAAAATTGAAAACCAAACCACTTTTAAAAACCCTACCGAACCAAAAAAATTGGTTTGGACAAAATCCAGAGGCCTAGAGTCTTATCATTCATTCCATGATTACAGAGCTCATAGTCATGTTTTAGTAATTTATAATCTTTAATGATACAGAAAACTCCAGCTAGACCAGACTGTAGGAGATATATGGCCAGGGTTCGCATCAAATGGAAAAGATCTCATAAAGGTACAAGGAGCTACACTGTCATGTGATCAATTTAAAATCTATCATGTGATATTTCATTTTCATATGACTCCCTCGGTTTTGTTTATCAGGTCCATCATGTGCTTAACCATACATCAGGGCTACACAATGCCTTTGACCCTGTAGGAGAAAACCCTCTGCTTATCTGTGACTGGGAAGAATGTTTAAAACGGATTGCTAATTCATCACCTGAAACAGAACCTGGCAGTCAGCAGTTTTATCATTATCTCACTTTTGGATGGCTCTGTGGTGGTATCCTTGAGGTAAAACCAATCATATCTTTTATAAATAGTTTATTAAAGTTGTTTTGTCCCTCTTGATGTCAAATCTTGTTTTCATCAAATCTTGAACAGTATGCTTCTGGAAAGAAGTTCCAAGAGATTCTTGAAGAATCCATTGTAAAACCCTTAAAGATTGATGGAGAACTGTACATTGGTATCCCCCCTGGTGTTGAATCTCGCCTTGCCACATTGACGGTTGACACAGAAGAACTAAGCAAGCTTACATCAATTGCTAATCAACCTGAGCTTCCTTCAACATTTCAGCCAGAGAAGATCTCACAACTAGCAACCACCTTACCAGTCTTATTCAACACATTGAATGTGCGCAGAGCCATAATCCCTGCAGCTAATGGACATTGCTCGGCTCGTGCGCTTGCTCGCTACTATGCATCTTTAGCAGATGGAGGTTTAGTCCCACCGCCACATTCATCTTTATCCCAGCCACCACTTGGCAGCCACACACATGTTCCCAAATTCTCATCGGTTAATGACACAAAGAAAAAGAGAAAGGGTAAGGAGATGATGGCATCTACAACACAAAAGGTTAAACCAAAAGGTTATAAAGAGAAGAAGCTCTATGATGAGGAGAAGTTTATGAGTACAGAAAGTTTATCAAGTCTTGTCAGTGATACTAGCAGTGATCATCAAGATGATATTCACAATTTGTTTAGCAATCCGAGGATCCATGATGCTTTCATGGGTGCTGGAGATTACAGTGGGTTAGTACTTCCTGATGGGAAGTTTGGACTTGGTTTTAAGTGTGTTACTTCACAAGATGGGTGTCTAGTTGGTTTTGGACATTCAGGGATGGGAGGGTCAACAGGATTTTGTGACATTGAAAACAGATTTTCTATTGCAATAACACTCAACAAGATGTCTCTAGGAGGTGTTACGGCTAGTATTATCAGGCTGGTTTGCTCAGAGTTAAATATCCCTTTGCCTAAGGACTTCTCTGTTGCTAATGGTATGGGTCCAGATTTGGAGATGGGTGCTCCTCTAATTAACTAAGGTTTATGTAAGTTTTGCCTGCTCATGTTACATCATATATAGTGGTTCTTGGAATCGCCTCATATAGCTAATAGACATTGCTGGAAAGTATAGTGTAACGCTCGGTGGTTTTTGTTTGTCTGTATACATCTTATATACATGTATACCATAACCTCTTTTTTTTGTATACCATAAACTTCAATGTACTATTTTCATAGCAATAAAGTACTCCCTCCGTTCATAAAAGATCTATATTCTAGAGAAAAATTTTGTTTCTAAAAGTTTTATTTTTTTGCATTTTCAATGCGTATTTTATGAAATAATTGCAAATTTCAAAAAACTTAATGTACTTATTAGATTTTTATTGACTTAAAATTATGGAAAAAAATTAATAACAAAAAATTATGCAAATTTAATGTGTGTTTCTTAATATCTGTGAAAATCCTAAAATATGGATATTTTAGGAATGGAATGAGTATATGTTTACACACAAACCTGATTTTAATCATTTTCAGTTTTTCCAAGTTCATGTATATTCCCTACTGTTCCATAATTATAGATAAGATTTGAGTAATCCAAAATATAAAATGACTGACTAATAATATTTACTGCATTATATATGATTTGTTAACTAGTTATAAACTTATATTATTATTGATTTCTTAATTCTCGTTCTTTTAACCAAAACAACTCATATTATAATGATACGGATGGAGTATATAACAGGGGCCTGGAGTTTAACTAACGAACACCTCAATTTCATTTATATGTTCCTAGTTCTATAGTGAAACACATACATGAAATTTGACAGAGTGATCATTACATATAGTGAATAAAGAGACACTTATTGCCAGATATCTGAGACGCAGCTAACAGCTTCGCTGGATACATTACCAAGTCCAGGACTCGAGTTCTGTCCAGAGATGCTGATTCCAGGGAACATAGACTGGTCACTGTGGACTGTAATGGCTGGTGAGTTATTATTTCCTGTGTATTGCAGACCATTGATGGAATGTTGTGGTGGACTTAGATGAGTTTGCAGAAGCTGATTCAAGCTACTAGTGAAGGAGCCTCTAGCTATCAAATCTTCAGCTAGTTTCACCTGTAAGTTATCTTAACTTAAGTTACTTTGGCTATTGAAAGTTTTTAAGTGATTTATGATACCTTGACTCTCAAGGTTTCCACATCTGATTTGAGAACTCTGTTATTTGTGCCAGCACTACGAAACTGTTGTGTTGCTTCTATGAGTTGTTTGTATAGTGTTGAGTTCACTCCTTTCAATGAATCAACCTTCAAGAAAACATAAGCTCTCACCATCAAATCCTATTAAAAAAAAACAAAAACGAGGTATTTGTTAAACCTTACTTGAGATTCAAGATCTGCCAACTGTTCTTGCTTCTTTTGCCTTGAACGCCTTGCTGATATCCTGTTTGAATACATCCTAAGAAAAAAAAAAAACAGTGATCACCTTTTATATGTCTCTCTCTTTGTGTTTGACATAGATACCTTCTAAGACGTTTTACATCATTGGGATCATTAGTCATATCAGATTGGCCAGCTTCTGTCTCTGCATCTTCTTCATCAGAGTGATCATCAGTATATACACTCACGGTTCCGCGAACCGCTCTTTTCGCCTCAGGTTTATTGGCTGACACTGGACTATCAGCTGTCAGATTCTCTTTACAGATAAAAAGAGCCAAACAAATTAACATTAATATCAACTTCAACAACATATAACACACGGAGCCAAAAAAAAAAAAAAAGCTAGACCATACCACAGATTGAGGACTGTGCATCAAGAAAAACTCCACTTGGAATCAAGCTCTCAGACTTCAAAAGACTATCTCTTAACTCACATGTGTAATCCTAAAAAAAAAAATTAATCAAGACTCTTAATACAATCTTTGGCTCTTGATGTAGACTTAAGCAACTGAAGACTAACCCGGTTCATGAGATCAAAAGAAGGGTCTAGAGGGTTTGTGTCAAGAACAGATTCTTGTCTGGATAAAGCAACAGAAGAAGTCAAGCACTTAGTGAGAAACTCTTGTAGAGCCAACTCAGAAGCACTTCTCTTCATACCAGTGTAACCATCCATTTTTGTTCTTCTGTGTGAACACACAAGTAGAAGATATTTGGTGGGAAAAAAGAGAGGAGGGGGAGGAGTAAGTTGTGATAGACATCTTCTTTATATAAGCCTCTCTATCTCCTTTACTAAAAAGTTGTGTAAAGCTTCTTAATGGCTAAGCAAAACCAAAATTGCTTTTTCAATTGCAACGTCCTCAACTTTTTTCCTTTTAATGACAACAATAACAAAAGAGAATGTAAAAGTAAAGCCAGAGAGATCTTAGGCTCTGTATTGTTTCTTTCTTAGCCTCTATATGTCAACAGTTTTATAGAAGATTATGGTACCAATTATATTTGCTATGGATAAGCTTCCTTAGCCGGAGACTGTCAAAATGTCAATATAATCATATCTGAATTCGAAAA